GGTGTGGGAAAGTGGTGTCTGATGTTACGGTATTCTGGCTTCTGTGATAGAGAGGTTCTTAGGGCTTTTTGTCGATAGTGAGGGGTACAGAATTCTATGACTAGCTGATATCCATTACTCCAATTAATAAAAAACACATGCTTGTTATCCCAGGTACTATGTGGGCTCTTGAGGTGAATGAGGAAACTTGTAGCAAGAAGTGCCCCATAAACATAAACCAGTGAACTAAAGTAGCCAGTCTGTCCAGCTTTGAGCCTGTACAGCCTGCCAGACCCTGGACCGTTCAGGGATGGCAGGGCCGGACCGCGGGAAAGCAGCTTTTCAAAATCAAAGATGGGTCCAGCCTAGGCCACGCCCAGGTCGGGGTTTCACGTAATCATTTGTGTGTAATCTTATAAGCAGATCGGTATAGTATAGTTAATATACCGGTACTCACCCAGTGGTCCTGCATCGGCTATGGGTTAGTGCCCGGATTAGGTAAGCGAGACACCGGTATAATATATCATGGTTATCGCTCACTGATGAATGAGCAACCATTCAGGTGTATCCTCTATGGGCGTATTAGTTCTGGCCTAATGTACTGTAGGCTCTGGAGGGCGGATTCGTATGACGCATGGCTGGCTGGTGGGAATGGTGGCCATTCACGGCATATCACTTGGCATTTCATAAATGTAGTAATAATACTGATACATATTTGACAGTGAGCTTGAACAATGAGTTGGGAAATCGAGGAGCTCTTGACTTTCTCAAAGAAAAGGGCAAGATGCCCGAACTATCTACTGATTGGAGCGAGACATAGAGGAGCGAATGATAGTAGGAACAATTGAAAGAGATGCATGGAGGTATATCCAATCGTGTAAGAGTTCGAGGTGGGGCCGTTGTGTTCAATGCAATAATGAAACCGCAGTAGAGCTAGAAACATTCTTAATAATAAAAAGGGAAAGGAGGCGCTTATCTCTGCATGATGGCGATCACAGCATATTACTTAGCATTAAATAAAAATAAAAGGCGAAAGGAAGTGCTTCTGCAGGATGAGCAATAACCTCACCCGGCAGGCATAATGCTTCCGTGTCGCTCTGCAATGTAGACCGTGCGAGCCCAACTTGGAGCGAAGCCAGAATCAGCGGTGTCGCCCGCTGTGGTAATGTAGATTCTTGTGAACGAAATAGAAACGTGCGGCCCCCTCCCTAGTTAACCCCCCCCCCCTGAATTCCTAATAACACCCATCTCATTGCTACTCCCATGGTCTGAAATGCACTATACCTTATGAGCTCATGTCAGGTGGAAGAGCTTCTGCTGGACAAAAACGTACCTTCAGGCGGCCCAGGAGTAATGGGGGCTTGGTTGCCCTGGGGGGTATCACCTTTGTGATCTGCCGCATATGAAACCCCCCCTCCCTGAGAGGTTGATCGCCGTTGTTTTGAGTAATGGAGGGTTCGTTTGCTTGATGGATATGGCCTTTGCTACCTGCCCCACACAAGCCTTGCAATGGGCTAGCCCGGGTCGAAAAAAGGGCCAACCCGGCCCAGCCCAAGCCCAAGGAACCTTGAGCCCGACCCACCCCGGCCCAAGGAAGTATAGCCCGGGCTAACCCAACGAGCCCATCGGGCCCCCGCACAGGGGAACAGCCATAAAAGAGATGAACACAACACAGTGAGAAATAGTAGTGATTATTTTCAATAGAAAGAGTGAATTTTATATGGACTGCCAACTTCGGAGGCACTCGGTTGACTCAATTGTTTCAGCATTGAGAGAGTGACGGGAGTCAGAAATAGTCCTCGTGCCTCCTGAGAATACGCGTTCAGGTTCGGAAGACATGGCAGGAATTGATAGGAAGGTAATTGCCCATGCCGCAAGTGTTGGGTATTCGCTTTGTTGACGATTCTCCTGCCACCAACTGGAAGGAAATAGGAAGCAGGAGGGAGATACCGAAAAGATCTGATATTTCATTGGGTGGCAAGACGAGATCTGAACTTTCAAACCTCCAAACTGCGCGACAATCTGAGAGCACATGAATCCAATATGGATTAGTTCTGCACTAAACATTCTAGATATAGAGATGGTTGGGTTGGATCTTACCGTTTGTAGTAACGCGCTTCCAGAAAGCCATGTGCTCGGACAATCGTTACCCCGGTGATACGGATTGCAAGACACCATACAAACCTTAAAAATAAGGCTAATCCTTGGCCGGGCCCGGGCTTGTCCCCCCCTCAGCCCGGCCCAGCCCAAGGAAGCCCATGAGTGAGCCCAGCCCAATGAGCCCGACCCAGCCCAACGAATAGCCCGGGCTAGCCCAACGAAGGCCCGACCCATTGCAAGGCTTGGCCCCACATGACTCCCCTCCTCCCTTAAGTGGCTGACGACTGATGCTCTGTCCTGAGGAAGCTACCCTCTAATATGAGTAGATGATGGACGCATTCACGAAAGGGGCATACCTCTTATTACCCCGCGATGTCTCCTTCGTGACAACGATTTATGGGCGCGCACCAATCTCCAGCTCAGATATATCGGGGACGCACGGCGTGGCTGTTGCATTTCCATCTATGTGTGGTGACCATTAGAAGGATTGGAAAATGTTCTCGTTTTCGGCTTTATATATCTCCTGTCCTTTCCGTTCATTCGCTAGAAGCGCAAAACCCCTTACCCAAATCCCATTATGTGATCGTGCCTTATCTTGTTGCTATAACCCTGCTGTTCTCTGAAAAGGAGTCTTCCATCCCGTAATAGGCCTATAGAATCCCGGGATGGTCGGTCCTGAGTGGGCTCTTGGTACATTCCCATTTACTACGCAGTTGGGGCTTGAATCAATATCAACTTTCTATGCGGACAGGTGATAGGTGTTATACCAGCATTTGAGTGTTCTCTTGGCCCAAGAAATGAGTGATCATCAAATTAACCGTCGGAAAAGCCAAATGCGTCACAGGCGCTCACTCGGAATCAACAGCCAGTGGACTCTAACAGCGCCATTGTCCTCGCATGGCAGCGCGAGGAGGCCCGTTCAAGCAGCGTGTATGGGAGGGGCAGTTGCATAGGTAAACTATCCCCACAGTTGATATCAGAGCCTTCCACCTCTACCAGACCAACAATCCAGATGTTGGATGCGTAGCGTAGATCACCGAACGTGGAGCGCTTATCGAATGAAAGAGGTTCGGGGGGACAGATGTAAGCGGGCCCCTAGGCAATGATTCTATATACATATAATTGGCACTGCCACGAATGAACGCACTACTCGAGTAGAGTGCCTGCTATCCAATCAGCAAGCTCGGTAATATATGTACATACAGGTAATCATTTGAAAGGCCAACATATCACCTGCCATGAATCCTTATAGTGGTACATCTTACGGATATACGCCCAAAGGTTTAAAATGTCACCTTTCAATTAGAAAAGCACAACCCACCTTTCCGTACCCTCCCTATAACCGCCACCTACTCTCACCACCACGTCTCAATCCGAACGATGAGGATGAGAGCGTACTCAGCTGTCGCGAGGACTACGAGATGCACAATAACAATGGTGGGGATCACGTCATCAGCATCGGCCAGAGCAGGATCCGCATCTGTCGGGGTACCAGGGTATTTGGGGTAGGCATGGATGTTGGTGTGGGCATCAGTGGCCCGTCGTGAAATGGCACGTCTGCACAAAGCCAGTGTTATGGAATAGCCGCACAAAGCCACGATTAGGAAGCCGATAGCTACAGCCCACCACCACGTCACAATCCAAACCGGGCCTGCATCATGGCACTGTGCCGTGTGTTGATCTGTCGCCCCTGCTGACGGCATCGCTGGTATTTGAGCGGGCGGATGTATGTATGTATGGGCCGTTAAGGGATAGCATCGGTCGTGGTGGTTGTGTTTAACGTGTAGGATGTGTTTAACGTGTTCGGAGGAGTGAGAAGAGATTGAGAGGGAGGCAGGATAGACGGTTGAATAAGAAACCGGGTGTCGGTTGACGTCTTAGCGTTTGTCAGGTGAGTATAGTGGTCACTATACTCACCCGACGGTCCTACATCCGTTTCGTGTTAGCGTGGGAATTAGGTAAGCACCACCACAATTTCTCGTAATATCGTGTCAGTGCTCACCCTTCGGTCACCCACCCTCGGTTAGAAGCGATGCAGAGAGCTGAGGCCTGTACGAAGTACTTGGACCCTCGGGATTATGGTGAATGGGCTCTATTGGCATTGGCTCTGGCTTTGGAGGTGGATTCGTATTAGTGTCAGCCGGTCGGGCTGGAATTTTGAGCAATCACGGGGTATCACTCGGTGTCAAAGAACGCTACTATGTTGTAATGGTGACCGAATAGTATCCGGTATATGTAAAGAACATATTGGTGTTTAGGAAAACTCTGCACGCTAGAGCTGAGGTATAAAGAGGAGTTCCAGCCTCTGTCTGGGCAGAAAATAATGATTTCTTTACTCTTCCCAGTGACTGTGGCTACATACTACATGATGCGCAACAACCTCACTGGGTGAGGATAGTACTTCCATATCAGTCTGCATCATATACCGTGCGGGCCAACCGGGGCCGAAACTAGAACCTACGGTATAGCCCATTAGGAGCATGCTAGGTCTTCTGAACGGCATAAAAGGTAGAATGTACGACCCCCCGCCGTGGCTAACCCTCCCGCTTCTTAGTTCAAAACCCCTTCACTATTTCCTAAACACAACTCCCCATACCTGCCATAGATCCCACATTAGGGGGGTTTAGCCGGCCGTGTTATCACAGTTCCGTGCTAAATCTGAGAGTTAGTTTGGCAGAAAATATGATTACAGATCATGTGGGTTTAGCCAATCTGTGCTAAATCAGGTTTATGCTTAGTTACGTAATTTTGGCAAGTGAGAAAACAAGCTGCACTAGACTGGGGGTGCCCTGAGCGAGGCGACACCCTCAGCGAGGTGCGGCATGGCTTGGCTACCTACTCTCGTTGACCCCGCGGATGCTTTGCTGATAAATATGGCCGCGCCTTGCTAATAATGTCGCCTCGCCGAGGGCTCACTCAGTCTACTTAAACCTTCCTCGTCCACCCAACTCCCACAACCACACCATCCACCACCAAAAGCTCGGAGACTACAGTTCGGACCCCAACAATTGACATCGGGAAGAGAGTTTGTTTTTCCCCACGTTTCCTCTCCCTATTCTTTCGACTCCAACTACGAGTTTGTTTTTCACAATCTTTCCTCTCCCTATTGTTTTGACTCCAGCTGCGGGTACGGCCCATAGATATATCTGTCACGTGGGCCTGATAAGGCAGTTGTGGTGAGGAAGCCTCGCTGAAAATATCCATGTAATGGATATATCTATCGGCCGCACTCGTATTATTCTCATTATGGTGGTGTTTCTACCAAAACCTTTACTCTTGGAAGGGAAGGAATTTCCTATCGAGCTTTACTCTCAGTTGCCTATTGAGCCACATTTTATTTAGCTCTATCTCCAGTTCAATTGAATAATGCGTTACATTGCATTCATGATTTTTAAACTAACGTGATTGATACAGGTAATTTCGGGTAAAATGACGTACCGACTGGACGAACATGGGAGCTATCCCTTCATCTGCATTCAGGACCTCGCACCTAAGACGAATAGGGCCATAGTCTCGCTACTTGAGGGAAAGATTAATTGACTCCCTGGGAGTCACAAATTGCATTGGCCAGGTCACCATTGAGCAACCACGGCCATCCTTTTATGAGCCTAGTTTTTGAAGATCAGAGGACAAGTTACGTGCTAAAAGGTCGTGAAACTCGGGAACGAACAAAGAGATGATGGGCTTGGGAGCTACAGTGCACCTGGATACCCCCCAACACCGCCGAATGTTTATTTCGTACAGCCGAGCGGTACACCTAGACCAGCCCCTGTCCACCACAATTTTCCGCATCGGCATGCCATTGAGACTTCAAGTTCGCCTTATCGCCGGATGGAAAACGGTATTACCCACGATGCTTCCCATCCTGTTGAGCCGACCCCATCTACCAGAGATCCTGAATTGGTATCCGTTGATGAATATGTACGGAAATTTCAAAACTGGCGGTTAGGTGGCGAGAGTTTTGGCTCTCCCGGGGGTGAGGAGGGATTGGAGCTAAGAATGCAAATGCCTAAATCTGATTTTATCGGATTCAGCGAGATTTTAGATGTAGGCGATGACGAAAAGTAGGACTCCCTCTTAACTCCACTTTAAAGTCAATTACTAAGTAGTGTCAGGTTTCTGAAAGTTTTGTTTAATGCGTTAACCTCCCTACTCATCATCCAACATATGCCAATCCCGATTCATGAAAAGGTTATCAGCACAGTCTTGGAAGGGTTCAATCTAGCAAGAAGTAGCCTGCCCATACCACTTCATCAGAGCATCGCCATCGTCTACAATCAAAAATTCCTCTCCTTTAAACATGGTTACAACGGGTCCCGAAAAGTACCCGATACCATGGTTCAGGTGGATAATGCAACAGGGACTCTGGAGATAAAGTTCCTATGGGAAGTTGGTTATGCTGAGACGTATGACGATCTGGTTTGGGATGCCAGAATGTGGTTGGAGGGAACAGACACTGTGTCCGTGGTGATGCTAGTAAAAATGAATGAGGATCCTGCTTACCAAAATCCAACCCCACGACTTACCGATGATGAGTTTGACAACCAAGAATTTCCTCCATCTGAAGAAGTTTCCCAGGAACATTTCTCCCTTGATGAGGTCCATGGACCTACTTGTTATAAAGGTCTACGTTGGGTAGGTAAAATTACCGGTTCGACCGAAATCTGGAAACGTGATCCCACCTCTCACTTGGCAATTTGCACGTTCGGCCGCAAGGTAAGTGACTCCTCAAGACTGGTAAACGTGATGTTTCTGATATAGCTAACTTGCATAGAACCACTTAAACGCAGACAATACGACCTATATTCTCTTTCACCTCTCCGATGTTATGGATGTCTCCTTTGAAGAGAACCATCATGTTCGTTTTGACTTAGGGCTCTTCCACAGAAAACTAGGAGCCTATATCAGAGAGTTGGCGGTGGAACAGTGTGGTGCGGCGCTCGAAGCTCGTGAAGGAAGAGCGAATGTGCTGGACCGCGATTTCCAACCCTCCCCTGCTGCTGGCTTCACATAGCGGACAATGCCTGTAATATAGATAAATAGTGGTGGTCACGCCTTTTTCTCTGCTCCTTTTTCTTTTTTCTTCTCCCTTGTACAATAGATAAACATTCACTGCCTTTTTTTCCCCAAACGGAAAGAAAGCGGTGTATGATAGCACAAGGATCCTGAAGACTACTGTGAGCAACTACGTAGAGACTTAATGACATGGCTGTATGAATAGTGCAATATCATACTTAGAAAACACCAATTGACCATCACCCCTTGTTAGCACACCTCGCAAGACCAGTCGGAGAGAACATCAGCTCGTCAGGCTCGAAGGTCCACTCAACAATGATGATATGCCAGTATCTAGGGAGTCTTCCAACTCCTATACTCAGCTGCCCAGAAAGGAAGTAAGGAAAGAGCCTGAGCATGGTGACAATTTTCCATCCAACCGTGAATCAGAGGAAAACAGGCTTGCCTGCCCATTCCTCACACCCGGCAACATATTCAGAATAGCAAATGTGAGGCGAACAGAGAGACAGTTCCTCTGTGGAAGCTACCACGTTCACACAGTGATGGATACGGATTCGGACGCCCTGTATGAACCATTCGCCCCCCCACTTGGGTTGATAAACTACAATATATCATTATTCGGCTTGACCACAAAACATCACTCGATCGACAAATACCTTGCTTTCTTTTTTGTTCAAGCCGCCCTACTTCCTGTGAAGGATAGTGGTCTACTGCACCAGCTCGGTCGAGTGTTGGTAGAACGTAGGAAGGTACAGATGGAAACCTGACAAATAATGTTACAATAGATAGAGAAAGCTACGCTGACACCTCCCACTTCCTAGCAAAAGAAAAATGCCAATGATCCTCATCTCCAGCGAGCCACCACCCTCGCTAGCACTTTCCCGCCCACGATTGTACCACATACACGGATACATACATCCTCCTCAGTCAACACACCTGTTGGACGGGTGGTGGAACAGATTGTGGTGGTGGTACCTTTTCATTAACCATTTCGTGCACTGGGCCCAGCATGTATTTAACAATCAATATCTTCGATTCGTTGAGGTAGAGGAAGCGGGTTCCCGTGTAGCGGCTTTCGCGAGCACGATTGATATCTGCAAGTTGGCATGGAGTGACTGGGGAAAGAATTAGGTACGGGGGAAGGTATTGGTCAGCTTTACCCAATCGCAATGCATCAGCTCGTGAATCAACTGCCGCTTTGAATGAGCGAACATCACGATATTCGTAATGTTCTACACCCTCTAGCCCTTCTGTAAGATAGTAATGCATGTCGAGTGGTCTCTCAGGGTCAATGGGTTGGCAGCAGTCGGGGGGTGTGGGATAGTGTTAGGC